TTTTTTTTTTTTTTTTTTTTTTTTTCATGTGTGGCTTTTGCTTTCAGAATAGCGTGTTATACTCTGTTTACATACTTTCATAGTAGAATGATTGAGATGCAGTAGGTCTGGAACAAAGATCGGCTGAATTAAAACCAAAAAAGACATCTGTAATACAATCATTTATACTAAAAGAGCTTAAAATGTGAGTGTGTTAGCCTGGACTTGGGCTACTCTAATAGGAGATGTTTGATGAAGACCGTGTTTTTATCCTCCTGCTGAGAGAGAGAGAGAGAGAGAGAGAGACTAGAGAATCTCTCTGTAGAATAAATGTAATCAAGTGTGCGGAGATCGTTTTGCCAAAACACTGCATCTCCAAACACACATTTTCCATCTTCACTACCGAAAGGCTTTGTTCAGGAGAGACAGAGAATTGATTCAGAATTTCAAAATCCCAAAGCTGGAAGCGAGAGAACAGACTGACAACAATACGAGCCTGTGCACTGTGGTTTAAAGCATTGTGGTGGCATTTTGATTGTGAAAAGCTTGGTTTTTCATGCCTTTCCTTCTTTGTTTTTGTACCTTTTATCTTCTTTGGAAGATTGTAACCTTCTGGAAGCTGTAGGTTAAATCAGTCAGCAGCTTTTGTTGTTGTTGCTTAATGAACATATTATTAACATTAAATATCCCCCCCCCTCTGGGAAATTTTATGAATGGATTTCAATGGTAAATACATTTCATTATTATCATAAGTTTTATTTATAATAAGGAAAAGTCATATTTAAGGTCTCTCTTTTTCCTCTTTTTTTGGAACTCTGAATTAAACAGTGGCTCAGTGGTTAGCATTGTCGCCTCACAGGGAGAAGGTCACTGGTTCGAGTCCCGGCTGGGTCAGTTGGCATTTCTGTGTGGAGTTTGCATGTTCTCTCCAAACACATGCGCTATAGAAGAATTGAATAAACCAAATTGGACATAGTGTATGAGTGTGTATGGATGTTTTCCAGTACTGGGATGCAGATGGAAGGGCATCCGCTGTGTAAAACATATGCTGGCGTTGTTCGTTCTGCTGTGGCGACCCCTGATGAATAAAGGGACTAAGCTGAAGGAAAATTAATAAATCAATGAATTAATTAGAAATGAATAATAGTATTGTCTTAAAATATCTAATTTGAATGTTATATTTTTATTTTGACCTTAAAGCAGCACAAAGCAATACAAAAAGCAACAACAACTATAAAGACGAACAGAACAACAACAAAAAAGATTTTAAAGTCTTTGTTACATCAGTTCCTCCAGTTTTATAGGTTAACAATGTCACACATATAGTTCTATGCCAGTGGGCACAGACAATTAAAAACAATAAAAGGATCATACCTTTAAACTGTTATCCTGGACATTTGACAGATAATAAAAAAGGGTTTTTAGGTGGCTTCGAAACCAGCAATGCTGTCAGAAAGATTGTGTCTTAGTCTCTCTAAATGTAAAAGTGCTAGAGGGTTGAAAAAAAGTGGAGCAAAAAGTGGTTTTGATTATAATATATACAGTGCTCAGCAAATATAAGTACACCCCTCACACACATCTTTTCAATTCATATTTGTAATAGGAAGCTTTACAGTATTATATTTGTGCATGTAGGACTTAAGCTGTTAAATAATCTCCATGTTTATTGCACAAAACAATGATGGAATCTTGAATCTTGAGGATCCAGAATGATTGCCTTATGTTGTGTATTTGATGCTTGATACTGTACTTGATTTTTGTTTTTCTGTTCACTTCTATTCATTGGATACCTCAAATTAAAGAGACCGCAGGGGAGGGGGCAGGGGTAGTTGAATTGATAAATTTCATTATATTGTTTTTTTCAGCCTGTATCTTTTTTTAATTATATATATATATATATATATATATATATATATATATATATATATATATATATATATATAT